GGCATTATGCCCTTTACTCCCAGACACTTCTGCGTGTTTTTCCTGAGAGGCATTCTCTTACATAATCAACTTAAGTAACTTATAAAGTAATTTTTCATAATATTTTTATAAATTTACTTTTTATAAAGAAGTAAAGCCTTCAAATATTCAATTTTGAACTAAAATCAATTTAATTTTTAATAATTGACAAAAATAGAAGGAAGAAGAGAGGAAAATAGTAGTCTATTTGGTATATATTAAGTAGTATATTTAATACTGATATAATATTTTAATATCTGTATTCCAATTTTGTCGATTGACAAATAATGAGCTTAAAACATTTAAAAATTTCCAGTACAAGATCCAATATGGGATCAGGTCTATTGTCTTTAGTTCTGTTTATACAGTGTCCTTGAATCTGGAACATTGCGACAGCCTTTCTATGTCTTTTGTAATACTAATACATTTGAAGGATTCAGAGCACCTGGTCCCCCACCACTCATTCACACTTACTGGTTTTAAAAACTGTAACTTCAGTAATAAACCAGACAATATAGGAGAGAGGAAGATGAAAAAGGGAGAAGAAAGACTGCTCAGATTTTTATTTTGAATGCTGTAGTAGTTACAAATATTTTATGATGTGTTATATTAAGACATACTCTCTATTGCTTTTGTAAAATGAATGGATGTATTTCACTCACAAGACGTTTGTATTCTCCAGTATTCTCTGAAAAGCTGAGAAGTTGACAAATCTTTTGTGGCAATGATTACATTTCCTAAGAAGCTAAGTAAGAAATGGAAGCTCATGCTTAATGAATGTATCTGTATCTTCATTTATCTATATATCTCTACCTACAGTTATATATACATCTTAATCTGAAAGCAGAATTAATTCATGTGTGTGTATTCTCACCAGTGAAATAAATGTTGAGTAAAATTGTTAATGTGAAGTAATTTACAGATTTATATCTGTTTGTTTAGTATTCTATGTCTGCTATAACAAAGAACCACAAACTGAGTGGCCTACAACAGAAATTTATTTTCTCACAGGTATGGAGGCAAGAAGTCTGAAATCAGGGTGTTGTTAGCATTCTGCTATCTCTTGAAAGCTCTAGGAAAAAAAAAATCTGTCCTTGCCTCCCCCTAGATTTGTTTTTTCAGGCAATCTTTTTTTTTTCCCTTGGTTTCTGACTGCATCATTCCAAATCTGCCTGTCTTCATGTGAACTTCTTCCCTGTATGTATTTCTGTGTCCATATCTCTCTCTCTTATTAAGGACACCAGTATTTGGATTTAATGCCCACTCAAATCCATTATGGTCTCATATCAACTTGATGACATCTACAAAGACTATTTCCAAACAATGTCATATTCTGAGGCTCCAGAATACTGTACACATTAATTTCTTGGGAGAATACTGCTCAACATAGTGGAATCTGCTCTCTGACTCTCAAAATTCACATTTGTCCCATGTGTGAAATACATTCACTCCATTCAAACATCCCCAAGAGTCTTAATTTATTCTAGCATTAAATTTTAGTCTAAAATATAATAAACTCAAAATTTCCAAATCTCATGATCTAAATACTCTATATTAGGTATAAGTGAGACTCAATATGATTTATATTGAGACAAAAATCCTCATTATTCGTGGACCCATGAAATGGCAAAACAAAGTTTTCTGTTTCAAAAAATAAAACCAATGGGGCAAGCATAAGATAGATATTTTCATTATGAAAGGGAGAAATAAAGGAGTCATTGATCTCAAGCAAATTGAAACCCAGATGTGAAAAGCCCATTAGTTTTCATGGACCGAAAATTATCCTCTTTGCCTCAGTCTTCCCTCTGGGGCCAAGGTGGCTATGTCAGCCCCTACCTCTGTTCCTGTTTCTCTAGCTTCTCTGCTTTTACATTCATGGCTCTTCCATTCTAGTGATTTTTTTTTTTCTTGAAGAACAGTTCACATTTGTATCTGAGTAGATCTGTCAGTCTGTTTCTTGCCTGTAGAATCCCTGAAGTCTGACAGCCTTTATACCTTTCATCCTGTTTTGTCCCCTTAAGTCTGAGCTTGCAGTTCTCTAGATACAGTATTCTCAAAAACATTGTCATATTTCTATTTATGTCAAAGGGATCCATGCCATTACATGGCAGAATTCTGCTCAGATCCTTCCTTGATAACCTCACCTCTATTCCTGGCTTCTGCTGAGATTATTGATTGAATCCATGAGTTATAGGCTTAATTTATTCAGCAAAAGGTTTTACTGCCACACATTTGGCTTAAAGCATGCTATCTGGACTGCTAAGAATGTTCTAAATCATGAAGTTCTGGCTCCTTATTTGCTTAACATGTCTGTCTTCAATTTATCATATTAATCTCACATTTTAGTATAAGTAGCAAGAAGGAAGCAGGATGCACATTTCACACTTTCCTTGAAAATCTCAGCTAAATGTTTATCACTTGCAAGTATGACTGTCCAACCAAGAACAGAGCACAATTAAGCCAAGGGTTTTGCCAGTTTATAGTGAGGATTGCATTTTCTCCAGTGTCCAATAACAGGTCTTCATTTCCTTTAGAAATCTCAGAAGAAACTCCTTTAATATCATATTTTGATTTAACAAATAGGTTTCCAGTCAAGATGGCAGAGTAGGAAAATGCTATGCTTGGCTCCTCTCCCGACCACATCAAAATAACAACTCAACTACAGAACAACCATCATTGGGAGTTGCCTGAAGTCTAGCTAAACAGAAATCCTACAACTGAGGACATGCACAAGAGGTCACCTCCAGACTGATAGGAGAGACAGAAACATGCAATGGACTGGTCCCACACCCACGTGTGGTGGTTGAGAATAGGGAGAAGTATCTCAGCTGCAGAAGTCTCCCCTGAGGAGCGAAGGGTTCTAGCTTCACACCGGGGATCCACAGCCCAGGGTTTTAGTTCCAGGAAGAGAAGTTCCCACAACTTCTAGCTGTGAAAGCCAGTGGAAATTGTGGCTATGAGAGGGAAAGCTGTTGGAGTCCCAGGCATCCATCTTAAAGGGCCTGCACAAGGACCTATTTGCTGAAGAATTCATTTGCTCTGAGCTCCAGTGCTGGTACAGACGTTCAAAAGATACTAGGGAAATATGGGGAGGACATGATCTATCTAGCTACAGGGCAAGGGCTGAAGGAAACTTTCTCCCAGGCAGAAGTGCTGGAGAATTCATTGTTCCTTTGTTGAGGCAATCACCCTCCCAGTGCGAAGACACAGAGCGCCATCATATTTGAGTCTACATCAACCTGGCTAACATGGTTTGCCCACACTGGTGATTCCCTGAGACCTTGCTCCACCCAACTTGTGGGCCCATCCAAGCGACTTGCAATGGCTTCTCCATACACATGGTCTGTCTTAATTCATGCTACAGACTTTCCTAAAATCTCTCAAAGGTTCACATACCCCGAACAAAAAGTATCTAGCCTTGGCCTGCTTGGTACCACTTGCTAAGCAGCCCCAAGGCCAGTACTAGCAGAATCCAGCCTCAGTTCTTGCTTTGGCCTCTTGAGGTGCCTCCAAACACAGTGTGGGTAGCAAACATTTGCAGGTTGCTTGGTGGTTCATGCCAGGTGGCCCAGCAGAGCATTGCACAGACTGTAAATAAATTTGGCCTGCTGTGGTGGTGCCCTTCCAGGAGACACTGGGCCAGCATATACCATAGACAGCTTCAGATTAAGCTAGATCATCACCCAGGGATGCATCCAAGGATGACACATGAAGAAAGTAGACTAGGCAGGCACAGGAGTTCTGCTAAAGTGAATCCTGCATACCTTCTCACTGTAGTCATCAGCTAGTCTTCACAACCAATCAACTTCAAAGTCAATCCTTCCCTTTGATGTGCAAAATGTGACCAAGACACAATTATAACAGGAGGGCACACACAACTCATATAAGGAACACACCTGGAGCGCCCAGCTCAGGGGACCAAGGATGACTATGCCATTGGGCTCCACAGAACACCTAC